CATGTGAATTTAAAAAAGCACCAAACGAAGGGAGGGGATGCAGCCATGAGCCCAGGGATAAGGGGTGAGAAGAAGCAGCCCAAGCCATGGAATTTCTATTTTTGGTAGGTTTGCTTGTTCACCTGCCCAYGAKCTYRTGMCAGGRGTGMTGAGCACAYCTGTACAGAARATTTTGGAGCAGTTTYTGACTCTGAAATGCCACAATGAACATTTTGTTATCCAAAAGGCACGGGACGGTTTGGGGTTTGCTGGCTGCTCTCTGATGRATTCCCCCACCCCTCTCACCCACAGCCACACCGGGAATTGCCACGTGTGTCCCAAATGCGAGGAGCAGCTCCACGGTGACCTGGCCACCATCCCGGACCCCGCTCGCCGCTCCTGCGCCTCCTGCCAGCGCTGGCTGAGCTCCCAACCCCAAAAACCACGAACCTACTCAGTCCCCAGCATGGGTGACATTGGGGACAGCCAAAGCCCAGTGGGCACCAGGTACAGCCCTGGCAGGGCTCTGTGGGAAGGGGGAGAAGKGAGTGTTGCAGTTGGAATTATTTTGGTTTCTGTTTTAGCAGGAGCAAGTATTTGATATTTAGGAAACGGTGGTTCTTTTGGGCAGTAGGTGTTTTTGGGAAGCTGCACGCTCAGGTTTGTTTTCTCTCTCTCTGTGTTCAGCTCTCCTGACAAAGCTGAGGGCACGGGAGAAGCTGGTCCCCAGTGCAGCGAGGCAGAGCAGCTCAAGGACCACCAAAGGTCAGTGTTCCACCCGAAAATACACAGAAACCGCAGTGGGCTTGAACAAAAAATCCTCTCAGAATAAAGTAGAACTGTGTTTGTCACAGAATCCTGGAATGGYTTTGGTTAGAAGGGACCTTGAAGCTCATCTTATCCCACACCTTCCACTGTCCCAGGCTGTTCCAAACCCCWGAAATGGCCTGGAATGCACAYCCTCAGTGCTTCTTCTCCACAGCGASCACATCTGCCCCATCTGTGAGAATTGGCTCCGTGCTCACACTGGCCAGGGTGACAGCAGTGCTGTGACACCGGGGGACTGGCGGGACAGGGGGTGAGTGTGGCCAGGGCAGCTCCTGTCAGCAGCAGTGCCCTCCAAACCGACAGTTCACTGCTCAGCTTCAAATAAAAACAACTGGAATTGTGTAAATGTTGGCTGCGCTCGCTCCCAGCCCCGTGTCGGGGKGGAAGTGTGGTGCCTGCTCAAGCAGAGATGTGAAACTCAGTGGGGTTTATTCAGATGATGCTTGTGGGGTTTCTGGATTCCTGTGGGGTTTTCTGGATGTCTCCGTGCTCCTCAGCTGTGCTCACCCGGCTCAGCCCTGTGTTCTTTGCTCTGGTTCTGGTTCAGCAGCCCCAGTGAGACCCTGCAGTGCAGTGGGATTTTCCTCTCACCCTCTGCCCGGTGYTTTTCTCACCTGTAGGTGTGGTTCGTTTGTTTGTGGCAAGGGAAGGTTTTGGGGCAGAGCTGAGCTGGATAAAGCTGTTTGTTCAGGTTATTTATTTCTCTTTCTCACCTGCCTACGTGAGTCTGGGGCTCGCTCAGGCTCACAAAGCTTCCTGAACGGTCAGCATTGATAGAGGCAAATTCATGTAAAAAAACAGATAAACTTGGTTTGAYATGTGCATCTGCTTGTGTCGGGTTTGGGAAGTGTGAGCTCCTGGTTGCTGCATTTGTTTTGGGGTTTTTCATTCCTTCTGTCRGCCCCCAGTGCTGGAGGGGCTGTTGCAGTTCTGCATTCCTGAATCTCTGCTTATTTGAGTTTCAATAGGGAAATTGGGAAGGAAATCAGCTTTTGTGGGCGCTGCTTAGGTGCTTTGGTGAGGGGCAGGTTCTGTCCCGACCCTTTTAGGGCTCACCCTCCCCTCTCACCCCACAGCCCGCAGGGCCCTCTCTGCGCTCCCTGCACGGACCGGCAGCTCCTGTCCCTCGTGCACGGGGACAGTGCCAGCTGCCCCGTGTGTCCCCTGGCCGGGGAGGGGACCCTGGCCCACCTGGTGCCCCCGCTCAGCCCCGGCTGCCACTCCTGCCCCGTGTGCTCCGTGCCCACCCACGCTCACCTGTGCCAGCCCCAGCGCCCGGCACCCGACGGTAGGAGCTGTCCCCAAAAACACCCGGGGGTGCTGGGGAGGGGGACAGGGCCCCACAAACCCTCCCCAGACCGAGGGAYCCCCCCGATCACCGCTTGTTTCTTGTTGCAGGATGAATTCCGACACTGATCCCAGCAGGGATTCGGTTCTTAGTGCAATAAACCCACTCAAACTCAAGGGTCTGACTCCACCACCTGACCTGGCAAAGAAGCAGAAGAGTCAAACATCAAAACCAGCTCCGTGTAGGTTTAATACCTACCTTTTTGTTTATTTTTGTATGAACAAACCACTTCTGTAGCTCCTCAAGTGAGCCTTTAAAAATCCAGTAAACGTTTCTTTCCACTAGGAAAATAATTTCCTCTTTGCACAATCTTGTCAGATTTATTTGTATTTTATAAATYACATTTTTTTAACTGAACTTCTTTTCGTAGTGTGCAACATTTACAGTATTTATAGTAAAACTGTTTTGTAAATAAAAGGAATGTGAAATARTGAATACTGGTATCCTGGCTCTGGGGTTTATTTCATATTTACTTATCAAGCCTTCCTGTAGAACGCCTTAAATGATTTTGCAGCSTCATTCTTCACCCAATGTAATCAAGTTCACTGATTACTTCTGCTCAGCTAATTGCTGCTGCTGCTGCTCTGATGCCTGACCCTTCCTGGGAATTGTGATGATGGGTGTGAGGCAGCACCGATGGATTGGAGCCTCTGTCCACCCTGGGCAGCACCCGGGCAGTGCCAGGGCAGGTGTGAGCTTCCCCCAGCTGGAACCTTCCGTGGGTTGACCCTGAATATTCCTGTGCTGGTTTTATATTCTCTATCTTAAAAAAAAAAAAAAAAAACAAACAAAAAAAAAAAAAAAAAAAAAAAAAAAAACAAAAAAAACCAGTCTGCAGCTCGAGCATTGAACTACGTGCTCTGTGCTCAGCTGTTCTTCCCTTTTCTGTTTGCTGTGCTGGCAAAATATTGATAATTGTTTCAGAGGCTGAAACATTTGCCTTTCTGCTCTATCAGTGTTTGCAGGAGATTGGGTCGGGGTTTTGGTTGTTCTGTGGAAGAGGAGCGGTGTCACAGGGAAACCAAAGTGCCAAACACTCACCTGACTCTGCTGTTGTGTTTCTGTRCTGGGGCACAGCGAATTCCTGTGGGATTGCGGGGCAGGGGAGAGGGGAGGGAGAGCCAATGGCCACCTGAGCTGCCCCATTTCCTGGCTGCCACCCCTCGCTGTCCCCTCCTGGTCGTGGCAGGAGCTCAAATGCACTTTCCGCGAAATCTGGGGTGACCTCGCTGTTCTTGCGTTGAATGGCAAAGGTCGGGTTGAAAAACGGGCARGGCAGACGGGCACTCCCACGTGTTCACAGCACGATTACGGTAAATCTAAACATTGATTGAGTAGGCTGGCTCACACACGGCGGAGGTGAACGCCTTCCCCAGAACTGGGCGCGGCAGGGGAGGGGAGAAGGAAACCTGAGCCCGGTGTCAACAGCCGCTGGTTCGCCCTTCCTCTTTCAAGCGATATCARTCCCTACCTGGCGAAATAAAGAGCGGCAGCGCGGTGGGAACGGCCAGAGCCGGTGTGGGAACCTCACCGGGAGCCGGCGGAGGAGCGGCTGCGCCCGGTGACCATCCCGGGGACCCTGCCCGCAGCCCCGGGRGCTCGGCAGAGCAAATACCCCTGCGCTTCCCTCCGTAGCCGGAGAAAAAAAAAAAAAAGCCTCTTCGTGCAAAAGCCGTGAGAGAAATCCGTGGCTGAGCAGCCCTCCGCCTGTCCCGAAAGGAGCCGCGCTGTCCACCCGGAGCGACACCGGGAGGAACACCGGGAGTGACACTGGGAGCGACACCAGAGCGACACCGGGAGTGACACCGGGAGTGACACCGGGAGCGACACCGGGAGCGACACCGGGAGCGACACCGGGAGTGACACCGGGAGCGACACCGGGAGCGACACCGGGAGTGACACCGGGAGCGACACCGGGAGCGACACCGGGAGTGACACCGGGAGTGACACCGGGAGCGACACCGGGAGTGACAACGAGGGCGACACCGGCAGCGACACGGGCCATGGCGCTGCGCTGGCTCTGCGTGCTGCTGCTGGCGCTGCCCGGAGCCGCGGGTGAGCGGGGACACGGGGGGACAGGGGCTGCGTGGGGATGGGGCTCCGCTGGGGAAACTGAGATGGAGCAGCGGGGGAACGGGGATGGGGCAGCGGGGAAACGGGGATGGGGCAGCGGGGGAACGGGGATGTGGGAGCGGAGAAACGAGGATGGGGCAGCGGGGAAACGGGGATGGGGCAGAGGAGAAACTGGGATGGAGCAGCGGGAAACGGGGAAACGGGGATGCGGCCCGCTCTCATCACCCCTGTGCCCGCAGGTGACTGCCTGCAGCCGCCCAGGTTCCAGTTCGCGGAGCCGGTCTCGGAGCTCCAGCCGTCCTACCCCGTGGGGACCGTGCTGCGCTACAGGTGCCGCCCGGGGTACGTGAGGAACGGYGGCGAGACCCCCGACATCACCTGTCTGGAAAACTCCAGCTGGTCCAAGAAATCCGCTTTCTGCATCGGTGGGTTCTGGGATTCGGGAGGGCACATCCCGGCAGCGCCCCAAGCCCCGGGACCGCTCAGAATTCTGTCCCATGTCGCTGYTTTAGAGCAGTTGAAAACACGTGCCCGCATTTGTTTAGAAATGTTAATCACCGAGATATCTCTGCTCTTCCTCATTCCGCCCCTGCTGACAGCGGGAGCGCTGTGATTTTCTGTACAGGAGCAAAGGGCGGCGTGCGGGAAGCTGCGGGTGTCGCTTGTCCTTAGGGTGACACATCTGTGCTGTCCCTCCCTGTCCCCATCCCCTGCTTCCCCGTGGGCCAAGAGCTTTGTCTTGAGCCTGCTGGCCCTTTATCCATTTCTTTGCTTGGTAAGAACATAACCCGGGCTATTTTTAACCTGTCCTTAGCTCTGGCTGTGCTGTTACTTGCTTTTGATTTCAGTTCCTCGTAAGTTAACGTGGTTTTGGATCTCTTCTGCAAGGGCTGGCCCTTGCTCTGAGGGCTCATAACCGGGTCACTGAGTCCATAATGCCACCAGACAGCTGCTGTCACCTGCACGTCGCTCTGATCCTATAAAACAAAGCTCATTCTGAGCTCCTGTCCTTTCAGGAAAGTCGTGTGGGCAGCCGGACATTGAGAATGGCAACTTTCACACTGACACCGACCTGCTCTTTGGGGCCACTGTGACCTTCACCTGTCACCCTGGGTGAGTGCCACCCGGGCTCCTGCTGAGCTGAGGCTGGGTGACAGCACCCAGGGGACACTCAAAGATGCTGGGACTGGCCCTTGGCACGCAGGGGTTCAGGACAGGGACCTGGGTGTCGGGGTGTCCCCCTGCTTTGCCGTCAAACCAAATCATTTTCTGGTCCCCCGTGGGCATTTTGCAGGTTGTTTTTAGCTGTTTTGTAAAGAATTGTGCTCATTTCCTGTGAGTTCTCATTGGTAATTGAGGTGTGTGTCAGGGTGAGTCAGGCTGCTCCTGTCATACCCAGGAACTTTGGGGAAAAAGGGTTGGGATGTCCTGGGAAGGCTGGGAGCAGGGTGAGAGGGAGGGAGAGGCCTTCAGGAACAACAGGGACACCTGAATCTGCTCAGAAAATWAAAWAAAAAAARTCTKCTGTTTGGCTTTACTGCTGCASAGATGGGACTGAACAGATCAGGGTGACAGGAAATCCTGCTCGTGGTGCTCCTGTAAGTTTGTACCCAACTGCAAGCATTCATCTTCCTTCAACTTCATCATTTATTAAATTTCCTTAAGCGTTGAGAAAATCCTACTTTATAGGAGAGCCAGCTGATTACACCCCAGGGTTCAGTTCCTCCAGGGAATACAATTAGAAACTCTTCAGCTTTCTCAACCTCCCCAGCTTTTTTTGTCACCTTTTTTCAAAGAGATTCCACCTTCCCATTCCTCAGGTACCAACTGGTCGGGTCACCATATGCAGAGTGTACATTGAAAAACAACCAAGTTGCCTGGAGTACCATTCCAATCTGCCAGAGTAAGCACATCTTAATTGGTTTATGGACATATCTTCCTCAAAGCTAAAACTACATTCCACGTTTGATGGAAATATTTATTTCTTTGCCATTATTTCCTTTCCTTGCAGTTATTCTCTGCCCACCMCCTCCTAAAATTGAGAATGGGCAGCTCCTGGGCGAGACTGATGTGTTCTCCTTTGGAATGTCTGTGAGTTACCGCTGTAACAAAGGTTTATCTCTCATTGGAGATGACACCATTTACTGCACCGTGGCTCATGGCTCCCAGGGAGTCTGGAGCAGCCCAGCTCCTGAGTGCAAAGGTAAATAAATGTTCATTGAGCTTTCCTGATGGGCTGTCAGATAGGARAAGGTGGATTTGAGCCTGGAAGGATTGCCAGGGCGTGGGCAGAGGGAGGGCTTGGTTTGAGGGATTCTTCAGCTCACAAAAAGCTCCTTCTCCATGCCCAGGGCATCCTGAAAATGAGAAATGATGTCTCTGCTCTCTCACTCCACTGGGGACCTGCCTGTCCCACATGACACTTCTGATCTAGTAGGTGACATCCTGTCCAGGAACCAGAAGATTTTGGGGCCCCTTCCAACCCAAATCATTCTGCGATTCTCTCAGCAGGCTTCTCACATCACACCTCTGGYGTCACTGCAGCAGAAATTTGTTATTTCTTGTGACAAATATTTGTTGTTGATCTATCCAAATAATGGATGGCTTTGGTACCGTCACACCATCCATTCTAGAAAGTGGCTTGTGTGACCTGGTTTTAATTGCTGTAAAGTCCTTGGTGAAAAGAAGTGTGTCCTTCTGATTTCTCAGAGTCTCTGAGCTTTATGTCTGACTGAATCCTTCCCCCTTTTGTTATCCTTTATCTCTAGCTGAATCCAACGAAGTTGTTGCTCCTTGTGGTTACTTTTTGTGTGTGTGTATGTGTGTCTTTGTGTCTGTTATTTTGTGTCTGCTGTCTGGCCAACAGCGACATTTATTGTCCCATTTTCACTTGCAGAGGTCAAATGTGAAAATCCMCAAGTGCCAAATGGGAGAAGGTTATCCGGCTTTGGCTCAAAGCACACGTACAGAGACCAAGTGACCTTTGAGTGCAATACTGGCTACTCCATGAAAGGCAGCAGAGTCATTACCTGCGGTGCAAACAGCACATGGACACCCCCTGTGCCAACCTGCACTCAAAGTGAGAGCAAACACATTGATTTCTGTGCTCCAAAGCTGCAGTTCACCATTGTCAGCGCAGATTTTGGGCATTTTCCATCACCAACCGTGTGTTTGTCCCCCTTTAGTCCTGTGTGGCCGTCCCCCACAATTCCCTTTTGCCACCCCGATGACGGCTGTGAAGGACAAGTCTGAATTTGGGACGGAGGTGACATATCRCTGCAACCCGGGTTACACAGCAGCACCTGGGAAATCTTCTGTCATCACCTGCCAGAGCAATGAAACCTGGTCTGCTGCAGACCCCAATTTCTGTGTCCGTGAGTATTTCTGCTCTGTGAAAACTGTGGGAGGGACCGGGACACGCTTGGGATGTTCCTAATTTGGGTCACACCCCATCTCTGGGTTTGAATTATTCCCCGTGCTGCTTTTTTTGTCTATAGGACAGCAATGCTCTGCTCCCAAAGTAGAACACGGGGCTGTGGTTGGAGATGTCAAGGAATTCCCGTATGAAACAGTGGTGACCTTCACCTGCAACGCTCCGTGAGTGATCTGTGCTCAGCAGGGCCAGGCTCGGGGTGGGAYTGGGATTTCAGCACATCCCTCCTGGGTTTCCCAGTTCAAAGGTCCAGATAATTTCCATATTTTGTCTTCAGTGCTGGGTGATGCAGTGCACTGCTCCAGCCTGGCTCCTGTCACCGCCCTTATTGAGTGATTTGCTGTGGGCAGACCCCATTTCACAGTCCAGGTTAATCCCTTTCTGTGTGCAGCATTGGGGACTGTGGGGAAAAACCCTCCTGGCTTGTCTTCTGGAAAGTTCTAAACTCCTTCCCTTTCCTTAGGTATACATTGAAGCAGAATTCTGCCAAGTGTGTGGTCGCAGGAGATGGAGTGGATTGGGATCCAGCACCTCCCTACTGTAAGAGGAAAAAACCCTGCACAGAGTTATTAAATACCAGCTCTGGTGGGCTTGGGCTGCTCCTACTTGCACTTCTGAATCTTCCAAAACCTGCTGTAAAAATCAGGATTTCAACCCTAACTCACGCTGCAATATTCTTGTACAAGTCAGGAATCATTCTGACAAAAGGGAAGGAGCAAGGGAAGAGCAGAAATTATGGAGCAAAGAAAAACAGTCATGAGAGGAAAGTTCTGTGTCTCCCATAGCAGGGAGAGATGAAGATAATCAGATGTTAGAAGTGTTTGGTATAATGCTGAAATTGGCTGTTATGAAATCAGTGAAAYATTTCTTTGGCCTGGGCACATCAGKGAGTTATTCTGTGGGGTGAGATCCTGCAGTGAATCCACCTGGGTTCTGAAGATGGGTTGTGCAGGGCTCCTGTTCTGTGTGTGCTGTGATTGTTTGCCATGTGCTACAGCCTGAGGCTCTGCACGTTGTGTAGCTCATGAATTGCTGGGTGGCTGCAGAGTTTCATGTTTTGTCTYTTCCTTTCCAGGCAGCGCAGCGCACACGATMATKGTTGGTGAGTAAAATCTGTACRCAGGGCCAGGAGTGGGATTTGATCTCTGTGGATCCTTCCAACCCAATATATTCTGAGGATTGGGGTTCCTGGGGTCCTTTTCCACCTCCCTCTGCCTTTGCTGTGTGTTCTGCTTGAATGTAAAGCCACAGTTTGTGCTCATTTTGGAATTTCTGCTGTTTAAAATCAGTGTGTGACAGGGCAGGAGAAGGGGAGCAGGGAGGGGAAAGAGAGCTGATTGTGATTAAACACTGAAACTTCTTATTTGTCTCTTGCAGGAATCTTCCCCCTCCTCCTGGCAGTGCTGGTGATGAGCATCTAAATTTGGGAATGGGTGCAGTGAGAAGACATCTGTGCACTGATCCCAGTGCTCCCAGTGCTCCCAGTGCTCCCAGTGCTCCCAGTGCTCTGCTCTTCCCTCCAGTTTCCTGTGGGTACTGACAGCACTGAAATCCTCGGAATCCTCAGGGAAAGATCTCCAATCTCTCTGATTCCAGCCACGGAATCCTCAGGCCTGAAAAGATCTCCATGATCACTGAATCCAGCCATGGAATCCTCACAGAAAGATCTCCATGATCAGTGAATCCAGCCACAAAATCCTCAGGGAAATATCTCCAATGTCTGAATCCAGCCACAGAATCCTCAGAGCTGGAAAGATCTCCATGATCACTGAATCCAGCCACAGAATCATCAGGGAAAAATCTCCATGACCATTGAGCCCAACCTTTGACCAAACCCCACCTCTCCCAGCAGGATTTTGGGTTATTGCTCTGCTCCTGGCAGCACTGGGGGACAGCTCTGATCCCAAAAAGGTGCAGATGGAGCCAAATCCCTGAGGAACTCCTCCCTGGGGAGCAGGACACCAACCCCACAGCTTTTGGGTGCTTTTTTTCCATCCTGTGAGCTGGCCCAGTCGTAGGATGGCGTGTGAGGGTGGACAGAGGTGAGGGAGGAAAAATGGGGGTAAAATGCCCCACATTTTGGCTTTTTTTTGGCTGATGGAAAGGCCACACTGAGGCGTTGGTGTTCCACCCTGGCTGAAGGATCATGGAGAAGCTGAARAGGTGACATCCCATAAATTAGAGCTAAAATTAAAAGTTTCCTGTTTAGAAGGAAACAACTCYGTGGTGGAATCCTGGCTCGCTAAGCCTGAGACACTCAGAATTTTAGCTGCTGGTAAAGCAAAGGGTTGAGGTTTGGGGTTTTGTCAGCTGCAGAGGTAAATCACCCATSTGTGAGCTTCTCACGGTGCACTCTTGGGAACAGGAAACATCCAGAATGTGTCTACTACAGACCTTTTCTTTCCCCATTTCCCCTGGAGTCACCCTGCTAACAGGAACCTGGCCCTGGTTAGAGGGAAACCCACAAAACCCCACAAAAACCCATTTCCACCCACACATGGCTCTTGTTCCCAACAGACCCCAAAGTTCTCCCTTCCCAGCAGAGCACTGCTCAGCTGTCATAGTTTTTTCAGTCTTGCAGAACAAGCACTTGCCCATTGCTGGTTATTTTTATTTCTCTCTTACCATAAGCTRCGTGAATCACTGAATGGACAAAATRCAACTTAAAGCCTCTCAGCTTTGGGTTTTGTTTGGTTTTGTTATTTTAATCCCAGCACATTCATTCCTACTGCGAAGTCCGAAGTGATTTTCTTTTTTTTTTTTCTTTTTTTCTTTAATTATTTTTTTTTATTTATTCTGTTTTTTCTATTTATTTCAAATAATTTAACATGTGATTTTGGGATCAGTTTGGAATGATCTCCCCACAACCCACTGAAAGGAACTGTGGGTGCTGTGACAGTTTTACTATGGGGTCACTAAAATATCCCACTGGAGAGGGTTTATTTACTGGGTTTGTAATGGAATTGTACMTAATYGTACTTTATAATCTGAATGCAAACAACCCAAGTGCAATTCTGGTTAGATTTGTAAATACTGRAAGCTCTCTGTCAATAAAAGGSATAAAAGGACTTGAGCAGTTYGTGTCTTGCTGCTTRTTTTAGGATCAGAAAGTGTCATCTCTGCAAGATGGGGAGCTGGAGCTCCTCATCAAAAAGGAGGTTTTATTCTAAGGGTTTTTATTCTTGCAGCAGTGAGGGATGAGCCCTGGAGCAGCCAGGGTCAGGCAGGAGGGTTTGGGGACCAATCCAGGACTGATCCCATTTGTGTGGGAGGAGGGAATGCCCTGCTCTGCCCATCCCACACCTGGGCAGGGGAGCTGGTCTGGGTCCCTTTGGGGACTGGGCTGGGTCCCTTTAGGTGCCACCAGCACCTGGGGACGTGGGACAGAGCCTGGGCCACCCCCTGAGTGAGGACACTGCACCCTGGGCACAGCTCAGCCCCTGTCCCCAGCTTTGCTCACCACCTTTGCCCTTTGCCCCGCACCTGCAGCCACCCCGGGGTGCTGGCTGTGCCTCCTTGCACTGGGGATCCCTCAGGTTCCTGTCCCAACCCCTGGAAAATCCCCCAGCAGCGTGTCCTTCCTCCCGCGGGGGCGGTGGGGGGAACTGGGRTGTCCATAAATCTGCCCCGTGCCCCCGGAGCCGCTGTCAGTGCCGGGGGATGGTGCCCATCCTCACCCTGTGCCTGCTGGGCAGCGCCGCTCTGCTCCTCAGCACCCTGCCCGGGGCTCCAGGTAAGGCATTTCTGATCCTCTGGGACCTTCCTCCTGCAGCCTTCATCCTCCTCATCGCTGCCCTCTCCTCGCTGATCCCTGGGCTTTTCCCTGGGGAGGAAAATGGGAGCGCCGTGCTGATCCCTCGGCATCGCAGAGCCCCCATTATTGGCCTTATTGGCCAGTTTGAATTATGGCACCGACACGGTTAAGGGGATAAAATGGTTTAACCTTAGTATTTAATGGGATCTTAGGTGTATAACTCAACAGAAAATGCACATTGTGTATAGTATGCATACAAGTTTTATAGCTTTTACAAATTAGCATATCTATTTAGATTTTTCTAATAAGAAATTTAACAAAAGGAAGTAATGTTTCTTTATTTTACATATATTTATATATTTTTTATATTTTAAATATATTTATTTTAAATATATTTATTTTAAATTTATTTATTTTAAATATTTTTTTTCCTGGGATGAGGTTAGAGTTTAGTTTGCACAATATGTTTTGGAGAGAAGGCTTTAACTTTTAAGTTTTAGGATAGTACACTGACTTCTTCCTGAGGATGTTTGGTTTTTCTGCTTAGCAGAACCCCTAAACTAAGTTAGAATATGAGACTGCAAGAATTAYAAGCRYGTAGGCTGAGGKTASAAGGGACACATRRAGGGTACAGAAAAGGGAAGGCAAAAATCACCCRGCATCATTCTGAGCTGCTCTGCTAAGGAGGGGACCCGCAGTGACAGCACTGGGGTCACAAATGGCCAGGGAATGGCACCCCCGGGCCAGTCCTGGAGCAGCATCTCCCTGGGTCAGAGCCACAGGAGGGGCTTCAGACCCACAGGAGGGGCTTCAGAGCCGCACAAAGGACAGCAAAGGCTCTTTGGGTGATTGATGCGACATCCCGGACACCCCGTTTGTGCCGGCTGAGGGAGCAGCAGGGTCCCCCAGGAGCACAAGGAGGGTTCTGCAGCCCCAGGGACCCCCACCCCAACTTCCACAGGACCCCCCGCTCACGGAGCACCGGGCTGCACGGACCCCATCCCTCCCGGGGGCTCTGTGGGTCAACATTTCTGCTCTCTCCCTTTTCCAGCTGCCCTGTGCCCATTCCCGCGCGTCCAGCATGGCAGAGTGCCCCCCGCTCGAAATTTCTACCGGACAGGGAACATCGTGACAGTCACATGCGAGCCGGGGTACGCCCTGCGCGGCTCCCACCGCAGCACCTGCGGAACCGACTCCAGATGGAAACCACCCCTGCCAGAGTGCAGGAAAGGTGAGTGGCCCCGGGATGGCCGAGGGGAAAGCTCCCTCTGGTG